GACACAGAGAACCTTAGGAATGTGCCCAAGGTCACAAAGCGAGTGAGTGATAGAGCCAGTTTGCTTGATTTCAAAGCTGAAACTCTTATATCTTGTTTCCTCTAACACAAGAAGAGGGTGGGATAATACAGTAGAAAAGAGCACTGAAATGTAAGTTAAAGACCTAGGTTTAGGGGCTTCCCTGGTGGCGCAGTGGTTGAGAGTCCGCCTGCCGATGCAGGGGACACGGGTTCGTGCCCTGGTCCGGGAAGATCCCACGTGCCGCGGAGCGGCTGGGCCCGTGAGCCATGGCCACTGAGCCTGCGCGTCCGGAGCCTGTGCTCCGCAACGGGAGAGGCCACAACAGTGAGAGGCCCGCGTACCGCAAAAAAAAAAAAAAAAAAAAAAAGACCTAGATTTGAGGCATGGCTCTGCTATTGAAAAGCTGAACGACGTCTAAAAACTCACCTCATCTGGGCCTCAATTTCTCCCTCAGTGAATCATTTGCTGCCCTAATGAGACATCAACTTAGGCCCCAAACTGAACACTGTCCTTGGGCCTCTATGTCTCAGAGCACACCTGACACCTGACTAGCGGCACGGCCAGGAGAGCCCCAGGTGGGCCAGCCTGGAGCCAACTCTGCAGGTGGAAAAGACAGGAAAGCACCTGTGCTGCTCTGTGGCCACATGGGGAGGACTGAGCTGTCTGCCACTGTCAGGACTCTGGGCTGAGCCAATGTGACCCCTCTTCCCCCTTCCCAAGCTCTGAGGCTGCTGTGGGTAGATGGATCCCGCTCACTCAGCAGACACCCCCAGCTACTGTAAACAAAATTTTGATTTGCGATTTCTCAAACCTCAGACCGAAGGTGGGATTTTCGTTAAGACTGGGAGAGGTAGCCATGACTGGAAACTGAAGTGGGCCCAGGTGCTCTGGGGGTGTTTACTACAAGCCTGTGGTGAGGCCTGAGCGCTTACCCTGGACGTAGAACCCAGCAGAGCCAGCACAGGCCATCACTCTAAGTCCTACGTGAGTGCTGCACAGGGAAGAGCACTGACCTAGGGATTTCAGTCCATGCGCAAATGGGAAAACAGAGCTGAGAGGGACACAGATCAAGGGATTCTTTGCAGATACCCACCAGGCATGGCCCCGCCCTTGCAGAAGTCTCCTGGCAAAGAGCTTCCTAGTATCTTCCTCAGGTTCCAGCTGGCAATTTTCAAAATTTTTCTTTAAGAAGCATCAGCAGGAAAGTATAAAAACAATCTCTGCCATCAGGACAGCTGCTGGATTCCAAAATCTTAGCTCCCAGGAGTACACCAACTCTACCTGAGTCCTTGAATGAGAGAGCCAGTAAGAGCCTTAACGACCAAGCCCATTTTACAGATGAGGGAAGCTAAATCTAGGCAGGAGAACTAAATTGCCAAAGGTCACTTGATAAGGCAAGGGCCAAATACAGAAACCCTAAGAGTACAGGATACAGGAGGAGAGAACAGACCTCCTCCTGTCTTTTACACAGAACCCTTATCAACCAAAGGGTTCTTGCCCCAAATCATGGAATGTACAGCTGAAAGGAATTATAAGGATCCTTTAGTTCAGCTGTTTCATGATCCAAATCAGCAAACACATACTGAGAAAAGTGACCTACGCCAGGTCACACAGTGAGTGGCAATTCTGAAGAGACCAAGGTGCTTTCCTAAACTTTATAAGAAGTTCTCTAAATGGAAGTCCAGGAGTTATAAAAAATCAATTTGTGTATAATGATGAGGATGATGGAGATATAATCCACATACCCTAAAGTTCACTCTTTTAAATTGTACAGTTCAGTGCTTTTAGCGTATTCACAAGGCTGTGTAACCATCAGCACAATTAATGTTAGAACCTTATCATTACCTCAAAAAGAAATCCCATACCCATTACCAGTCGCTTCCCATTTCCCACTCCCTCCAGCCCCTGCCAGCCACCAATCTGCATGTGGTCCCTATGGATTTATCTATTCTGAATATTTCATATAAGTGGAATCATACAATATGTGTCCTTTTTTATGTCTGGCTTCTTTCACTCCCTCAGTTCTTTCACTTCTTTCACTTTTTTAGGCCACTTTTTTCCAGGTTCATCCATGTTGTAGCATGTATCAGAACTTCATTCTTTTTTATGGCTGAGTAATAGTTCATTGTATTTATATACCACAACTATTTATCCATTCATCCATTGATGGATATATGGGTTGCTTCCACTTTTCAGCTATTGTGAATAATGCTGCTATGTATATATACTTGTTTCAGTACTGTTTTCAGTTCTTTGGGTACATTCCTAGGCATGGAATCGCTGAGTTATATGATAACTATGTTTAATTTTTTGAGGAACACTATTTTCTACAGTAGCTGAACCTTTTTACATTATCACCAGAAATGTACAAGGGTTCTGATTTCTCCACACCCCTGCCAACACTTACTTTCTGTTTTTTGTTTTCGCTTTTATTGTAGCTATCCTAGTGGGTGTGAAGTATCTTCTTAGCTCTAGTACCCCTGCTCTGCCAATCTCAGAAATAGTTTTCTGCTGACCTCTGACCTCCCTTAGATTAGGTCATATGCAACCTATAGGCTATATGAAATGAGTCTAGGAGAAGATACTCCTGTCCTGGTATCAGTCTAACCTGCTTCACCAAGGCTCCTCTTGCTGGCTCTGACCTCTGGGACTCAGTACCATGTATGTACTCAGGATTCTGGTTCCTATGCTCTCCAGCCCTAGCTGATTTTTCCATATACAATCCTTGCTGACTTTAACCTGCAGTTTCTAATGCACCCTTTCAGATATGGTAAATCCTATTTTGAATCAGAACATGTAACAGTCTGTTAATATGTCTCAGAAGACTAAGGAAGACTTTCAGGCTGGCGGAGACCTCCTCTAACTAAGGTGTGACGGAGGACAGCCTCTGCAAAGATAGCTTAGCTTTCACTGCTGGGTTTGATTCTTCTGGCAGAAGTGTTCTTGCTGGTGTATACAAAGAGAGGGGAATAGGCTGTTAACGGAGAGAGTTTAATAAAGCCACTTCCCATTTTTCAAGAGTCAACTCAAGAGTGATCCTCTCCATAAAGCTTCTTGGTCTGCAATTGAAAACTCCTCCCTACTTTGTGCTCCCGCCTGAACTATGGAATGACTTACACGACAGTTATACCACTGTATTTGTTGACCATTTATTAAATTTGTTGACATGCCAATCTCCACTCAGAGGGAACTTCTTGAGAGCAGGGACCCTGTCATGCATAGTGGTACACAGTAGGTGCTCAATAAATGTTAGTGGATGAATGAAAGGCCATTGCTCAGTATGCAGGGTGGGTCTCATATAAAGAGTAATGCCTTCGCTGTGTCATTTATTCAAAACTTATAAATGAATCACAAGAAAAAATGTGTCCTAGGACCAAAAACAGGGCAACAAAGGAGATGGAAATGGTCTTCTCCCATGTTGCTCTGTTTCACATTTTCAAAAGATATAGATCTTCTGGAAAAGGCAAAACTATGGAGAAGTAAAAAATCAGTGATTGCCAGGGGTTGAGGAGGAGAGCAGGGTAAATAGGTGGAGCACAGAGGATCTTTAGGGCAGTGAAACCATTCTGTATGACACCACACAGATGGATACACATCATTATACATGTGTCGAAATCCACAGACTGCACAACACCAAGAGTGAACCTTAATGTAAACTACAGACTCTGGGTGATAATGCTGTGTCAGTGCAGGTTCAGCAGTTGTTACAGTGTACCACTGTGGTGAGGATGCTGATAATGGGGGAGGCTGTGCGTGCATGCGGGCGGGAGGTATATGGAAAATCTCTGTAGCTTCCACTCAATTCTGATGTAAACCTAAAGCTACTCTAAAAAATAAAGTCTAGGGACTTCCCTGGCAGTCTAGTGGTTAAGACTCTGCACTTCCACTGCATGGGGCACGGGTTCAATCCCTGGTCGGGGAACTAGGATACTGTGCAGTGTGGCTAAAAAAAAATTTTTTTAATTTTTTTAAATTAAAAAAATGAAAATAGGGAATTCCCTCGTGGTCCAGTGGTTAGGACTCGGGCTTTCACTGCTGTGGGCCTGGGCTCGATCCCTGGTTGGGGAACTAAGATCCCACAAGCCGCATGGCCAAATAACTAACTAACTAAATAAATAAAGTCTATTAAAATTTTTTTAAACCACGGAAAGTACAGACCCATCCACCTCTATTGAGACATCAGCTTGGGCACTTGTCAAGCCAAATGCACGGACAGGGAAATGTTATACTGCCCATGACTCTGCCTGCCAGCTGCTTCTCTGGACTGGTTCTTGGCTCTATAGCATTCTGCTGCTGGCATCCTCAATTGATGCCAACAGCTCCCAAAGGGCAGGGAGTAGGCCCTAAGACTGTTTGGTCAAGACTAATTTTCTAAGAAATCTTACTACTTCTGTGCTGAGTTCACTTAGAATAAAAAAAGGTTGGCAATGTTGGCCCTTCCCACCTCGCAGATCTTCAGGAGTTGAAGCACCTAATACCCTCAACTAACCCTGGGTTGAAGAGACCAAACTTCCTTGGTCTGATTGTGTCTCTATTGATTCAGTGAAAGCCTGCTTAATCCCGTTTGTCTGTCCAAGGACACAAAATGTCCAGCAATCAGTTCATACTCTCTGCATATCCACAGCTGAGAGCAGGAACAGCTAAATGGCACTCAGCCCCTTTTGGGTTACTTTTTATACCTGAGCATGCCATTCAAATTTTAGTGTTTGTATCCCTGCTCAGGTTGTTTCCTCCACCTAGAATGCCCTCTCCTGCCACCTCCATGGAATAAAACCCTATCCATCTTTAAAGGCAGAGGTCACACGCCACCTCTTCTATAGGATGCCTTCTTTATCCCTCCCCTGGATCTCAGCAGCATTGTGTACCTCTCTAGAACATTCATTTTATCCCTTTAGGGCAGACCCAGGACCTCAACCCAGCCACTCCAACTGCCTTCGGGTCCATGGCACATCAGCAGCCCTTCTTGCCACAGGACTCACAGAGAGGAGGCCCAAAGAGCACAGTGTCCAGGGCCTTCAGCTGCAGCTTCTGCCGATGGCTCCGGTCTGTCATCTTTAGCACAGTCCCTGTCATGGTGGTGTTGGTTACAGCGAGCCTGTTGGGACAAAGAGTAGGGGCTCAGTTCCCTGCCAGCAAAGCAGGAAGGATCCTGGTAGGACTACCCACCTCGCCCAGGAACACTTCCATGACTTCTAGCTCCTGGCGATTGCTCCCCTCTGCACTCTAGTACACAGTCTGTACCAGTGGATCTCAACAAGCAGTGAACAGGACACATAACATTCACCAAGAATTTGTTCACCCTTCTCCCCATGTCCACCATCTCCTGAATGTCCTACTCTCAAAGGATTATCCATCTGTAACCATTCCCACACCCAACTGTAAATTTTCTGTTGTACTTCTCCTTCCAGGGATTATCCACTATATACCTGTCCCCATACTCCCACCATTTGCAAACACATTCGCCTGTCCAGCCCAGGTCAAAATGTTATGCCACGTGACCCAGCGATTCTAGGGACCTCTGAATTATCCTAATCCTAACACATTGTCATTAAATATAAATCTGCTGACAACAAGCATTGCATTAGAACTTCTAAGAAATGAGAAATGAGAAAGGAGCTAACATTTAATAAGCAGCTGTGTATATCTCATATTGTTCTGACACTTTAGATACAATACCTCATTTAGTCCTCACACTTTAAGAACCCAGTTCTATTATTAGCTCCATTTTACAGATAAGAAAAATGAGACTTAGAGGTAAGTAACTTGCCCAAAGTCACACAGCAAGTAAGTGGCAAAGGCAGGATACAACACAAATCTGCTAGATCCGCCCCATTATACCACGCTGCCTAGGGATGGGCCTAGAAGCGCCCACACTCTACCCCACACCCTACTCCCTGAATGCTCCATGCTTCCTGCTGTCGCTAAGGTACCACAGCTTGTTTATCTCTACCCCTATGCCCAGCCTGGCTGGGTCTGGTCTTGGATCTAATCCTAGTCACAGAATGGCCAAGTGAGTGCACTGCCTGAGAACTAACTTCTTACCCTATGTTTTACAGTTTTAATCCAAGCCATAGCCGTTCTTCAAGATGGAATAGGCCAGGGATCCACAAGGCAATACTGCTATTTCCATGGGAAAGAAACCTAAATGCTGGAGCTTCATGGTCAATCATCTGTTTAATTGTCTGTCTTTTCCACTAAACGTGGAGTTCCTCAAGGCAAATGTGAGGTCTAATGCATTTCTTTGTCCTCAGGACCCAGGAGAGAGCATGGCGCATGGTAAGTGCTTGGTAAAGTTCTGTTAAATAGAACTAAACTGAGTATTTCCAGGAAGCCTATTTTCAAACTACATGGGGCAAGAGGAAGGTGCAGTGAAAAAAGCAGGGCACTTAGAACCAGGCAGACCTGAGTTCAAATCCCAGCTCTGCCACTTACCAGCTTTGAAAAATCATAAAATATCTGAAGTTCAGTTTGCTTGCCTGAAAGTTGGGATAATAATTCCTTCCTCCCAGAATTGTGAGAATCAACTGAAATAATAGGTAGGAAAGTACCCTATAAAGGGATGTACAGACATTAAGATTATTACTCTCTCCAGAGTAGGGAGAAGCTGTGAATAAGAGGCTGCAGGCAGCAGAGGAGGGACCAGCCAGCTCAGCTAGGCCTGGACAGCAGCGCCCGGTAGCCCTGTGGCTGGAGGCTGCGATGTGTGGGCATTCCAACAGCTTCCCCTTCCCCTTTCCCCTTTGCTGAAGCTCATAACCAGATGCACCTACATAATAAGATGACAGATTATACATAATCAGCACTTACCAGACGGTAAGCCCTTTGAGGGCAAGGGCAGGTTGCTGTCATCTTTATCCCCAGCACCCAGCACAAGTGCTTGGCCCAGAGCAGGTACCCAGTAAATACTGGGTGAATGAATAAGTGAATGGATTAATGACTGAATGACATATGGCGCTAGTTTGACATAACAAGAAGTCCAAGCAGTATTCCATCCCCTCCCCACACCCACCCCAAGTCCTAGTACATTGTGCCTGAAAGGGAGGCAGAGCTAGGGCATAACAGCTGTTGGAAGAGTCATTCCAGAGAGGAGACTGGGGCCAATGGTAGTCAGCCCCCACCTCTGCACCGGTTCTTTAGAGCAGATAAACTGCAGATGGATAGTTCCGGGAAGGTTAAAAGAGCCCCGAGTCTCCTGGGCAATGAAAGAGGCAACTGCTGGGGGGACAGCAAAAGAAAAAGAGAAAAAACACAGGCTTTGAAGTCTACCCAGATCTAGGTTCAAATCGCAGTTTTGCCTCTAACTAGCCATGTGACCTTGGAAAAGTTACTAGGCCAGGTTCATCATCTAGATACAATAATACCTACCTTACAGGATTGATGTAAGAATTAAATGAGATACTGTACATAAAGTGTTAAGTAGAGTGCCTGGCATACACTAAGCACTCAATAAATGGTAGCTATTAGTACTAGTCCCAGGATTGACAGAAATATTAAGTAAGAGAACAGATGTGGAGTGTCCATATGCTTTCTAGCAAGTGCACAGTAAATGTGAGAAGTCTACAGATCCTGCCCTGAAAGGGGTGAAACTTCAGTTAACAGGTGAGAGCAACGTGAGGGCAAGCCGACCCCAGCCCATTCCCTGCATCCCCAGTGAGAGAACCCAGTCCCTTCCTGACCTCGGCATGGCATGGCCACTGAGCTGCAGCTTCCGGAAGGTCTCCTCATACTGAGGCAGCTCCACATATGTGATCAGCCACTGCACCACCTCATCCACGGTCCAGTTGTATACTGCGGGAAGAGATAAGCAAAGCCATGACTCCAGAACACAAGCACTGCTTGTTCTTACTGTCACAGTCTCCACGACCTTAACATTCACCACATGTCTACGTGTTTAACAGATCTCTCTCCCATAAAATCCCAAGTATGAAAGGAATACATACAGTACTTTTTGTTTGACCTATAGGGGATGGACTTGTTCTTCCACTATTCAGGTATCTGGGATAAAATAATCCTTAATTATTATATAATATACTACATTATATATAGTATTATATTATATATTATTGTAATATAATAATAACAAATGATATTAATAGAAGCCACCATTTACATAGCACTTACTATATAACAGGTACTGTGCTAAGCACTTCACAGATATTAGCCCACTAATCTTTGCAACTGCCATGTGAAGGATATGTTCCACTTTATCCCTATTTTACAGATGAAGAAACTGACACACAAAAAGGTTATGTAACTTTCCCAGAGTTATCCAGCCAGGAATTGGTAAAGCCAATTTTGGACTCAATCAGTCTGGCGTCAATAGCCCTTGCCCTAGCCATTATGTCATAAATATAATACGTATATAACATTTTAAAATTTATATAAATAATATATATAAAGGATATATATATATATGTATATATATATATGGACACACACACATACACACATACATATATCCTCCCTGACACTGCTGGAAAGCTTCATACAAAGGCAAATCTGAGCCAAGTGATGGATCCAGATGACATCACTTAAGCCCTGAATGAGATCACATCTGTAGACAGCCCTATTCATACATTTTTCAGTTTTGTGCAAAAAGTATTTTCCCCTTTTGCTTATATCAGATTGAAAAGATTTTCTGTCACAGCAGGAGCCAATTCTAACTGAAACAATTACTGAGTGATCATTCACAACATGGTAAATCACGTCATTACCATACATGGATCACTGTACCTAATCATTTCCTCAATACTATAAGACTGTGATTTTTTTAAATGGACAACCATAAAAATAATCCTTGTAAAATAATTTTAATATTTCTGTGGTATTTAGCCACATATATAACAAATTTATTTCCATACTTTGTCAAGAATCAACAATAAAGGAACAGAAGAGGACTTAACATGCAAGGAATATGTTCAAGCCAAGTAAAAGTCAAATGACATCAAGATGTATTATATAAATCAAAGTTTCATAGGAGCTTGAATAGAGAAAAATGGTGGGAGGACTGAGTCACCATATAGCACCCAGTAATACAGCTATGCTGAACTTAAAGAGCCTTGGGTGGGAGCAACTGGGTTTCAGCAAAAACATGTCATTTTATTGGATTTGAAATTTGCTTTTATTTAATGTATCAGTGTGTTTTTGTTTATATTTGTACACAAATTTTATATAGCAACTTAAACCTCATTTTATGTTTCTACATACTTAAATACCATTAAATAAAACCAGCATTGCAGGCCCAAGATAAATGATTTCCCTTAAAAGGAATCTGTACATTTCTCAAGTTGAAAACTACCACTGTGAGCAGCAAGAAGCCAAAAAAGTTTTGAAGCAGAATGAAATGGTGAGATTTATCACCCTCCTCTCTTAAGATACATATCTTTCCCCAAAACTGTCTTTCATCAGAATGCTTTCTAATTTCCCCTTAATAGTCAGGAGACATTGAAGGCAGGGACCACATCCTATTCATTTTTGCTCACCCCTTTGTCGCTAAAATAGTGCCTCTTATACAGTGGCATCAATAAGAATTTACTGAAAGAAAAACTACCCTAAATGAGGAGTTCCAGAAATGTTCTGAATGTGGGCCTCCAGACAGCAGCCACAATCTTCCTAGACAAATATACAGCTCAGGTGGAGGTTAACCTCTGAAATGTTTGTCCAAAAATCAGCATTCCTCTGGTAGGCACACCTCAGATCTTAGGTTGTTTCTGTCACTTGCATATAAACTAGAGAAGCTGGAAGGCTGGGCTCTGACCCTTTATCCTTCTACCTCCCATAGGGGAGCCCAGCACACGGTACAAAGCAGACACTCAGGGAAACATTCCGAATGAAACAATAGAAGACAAAAATGCTCTAATCTCTCCATGTCCCCAAGAAGCTGCTGGAGCTCAGGAGGAAAGTTCTGAAGCCAAGAGACTTTGAAGGTAGATTAGACCATTTGCAGAGGCACAGGAAAGGTTCCAGGAGAGGAAATGAGGCAGGTCTAGTGCACTCAGATTGATTGCATCCTAGAAGACAAGATCCCGGAGGCTTAGGCGGTGAGCGTTTAGTCATTGCCTGTTTGAATATCTAATTTCCAGACTAGAATACATTGGAGGGAAGAGAAAGATTAATTTCCAAGAGATATGCTCAAATCCTAGGGCTTGGGAAAGGAGGGATGACAGAACTGGGGTTAAAGAAGTGTTGAGGAAAGTAGAATAGACTGGCCTTTTATTCCTGAAAATGAATATATCTCCACATACATTATCAACGTGATCACTTGCTACGGTCCAGAGTGTTAGGTAATGAAGGCCTAGCAGAGTGGCACAAGATGTGAGGCAGACAGACAAGTGCTAGCCTGCAAAGTGCAGAGAACACATCCTGCCCCTACTGTCAAGGGAGCTTGGCCTCACCCAGCATGGCATATGGAGTAGAAAGGCCACGTCACGTATTGTTGCTTGAAAGGCTTGAGGCCAGCGGTGCCACAAGGGTCTTCTGTCTACGGGGAAGACGACCTGATACAAGCCTGAGCATAAATGCTTGGCATGCAGGAACTCCTCCACTTGTGCCCTACACTGCAGTGAAGACAGAAGTCACTCTAGACCGGGGTTTCTCAGTCTCTGCAGCACTGACCTTTTGGACAGGTTAATTCTTTGTTGTTGGGGGCTGTCCTATGCATTGTAGGATGTTTAACAATAGCCCTGGCACCTACCCACCAGATGCCAGTAGCATGCTGCCGGTCATAACAATCAAAAGTATCTCCAGATACTGCCAAACGTTCTCTGGGGAACAAAACTGCCCCCCACTGAGAACTACTGCTCTAAACACTACACTAAGTGAGGCAGAGGGTCTGTAAGGAGACCACTACACTCCAATAAGGATGGACTCTGAACATAGTCAGTCCCTACAGAACTAAGCTTTGCAGAAAAGGATGATGACTTCAGCATGTCAGGACAAACCTCAAGGCATTGTTTTTCGGGTTTTGTGCTCCACATATTATTCTGTTACCTGGCAGATGCCCCACCTAGGTAAGGCTTGGCAGTATGGTGTTGCCCACTCAGAGTCACTGCAGTCTGAACAAAGTAAGCCAGGACGAGCTGCATCCTTGTCAGACAGCAACCCTGTGTCCCAGCATGAGGATCTCACTCAACAGTCAAGGTGAGATATTAGGGCCCCTTGTTCCTAAGGTTCAAGTATCTAAAAGTTAAAAATCTTGTTCTGCTTTCTCATTCCAAAAGAGAAAATGGGAAGAATCCCTGAGCCAAAGTGAGGAAGAAGGTAACAGCAAGTACAGAGAGCTGTGGCTGACAGTAAAAGGAGACAGAATTTGGCCAGGGGAGCTTAGTACAGATAGAGACTCCAAGTGACTCACACGACCAAACCCCAGGAGGACATGCAAGCAAAAGAGAGTTTTCTAAGGTCATGATTCTCTCATCCCCCTAAGCCTGTCCATTTTGCTCCTAGAGACATCAAAGACTACATCTCTGGGCAAAATGACAAACAGTACTACACAGAATCGGAGAAAGCCAACCTCTGGAGTTTTCCACAACAAATAGTCCTTTATAAAAGAAATGCACAAGGTGACTGACTATGTAGCCTCCAACCTTTCTAATGACATAATCTACATGTAAAAAAAAATGTGAGCACACATTGCCAATATAAGAATATCTGTTTATAAATTAGATATATGTACTAACATTAGGTATACTGTAAAACATACATAAAAATTAAATGAGATAAAAATAAATGCAATATAAATACAAGCTATTATATTCTCTTGGGGCACCCCAGTTGATTGTCTTGTACAGTTGGAAACCATTGACCCAAACTTCACAGCTTTACCCTACATGCTGCCTCTGTTATAGCTTTTAGCTTCTCAGTCTTCTTCTAGAATCAGTATCTTGCACTATTTACTTATTTATCCTTGAACATTGCTCTCAGACTTCTAGATCTTTGCTGTTTCTGGAAAAGCTCTCTTCCCTCTTCCTGGCCTGATAAACACCAACTAACCCTTAAAACCCAGCTCTACCTCTTCACTTATTGAAACTCTTTGGAGTCCATTTTAAAATCATGAGCAAAGACACAGAACTATAAAGTGTGGGGCCTGTTCAGAGAACTCTGACTCCCGTCTGCCTGGAGTCCAAGGGTTATATATAGGGACAAGGAGGGTGAGGCACTGCTGAAGCCAGATGATAAAAGGCCTTGAAAGCAGTCGGTCCAAAACTCCAAATTCATTTATTCATTGGGGGGAAATTTTTATTGAGTACCTACTACTTGCCAGGCACTGCTCTAGAAGCTAGGAATATAACAGTGCACAAAAGAGTCACAGATTCCTAGTGTTTATATTCTGGTGGAGAGAGACAAACTAAAACACTGTAACAAATAATTGTATGTTGGGTAGTGATAAATACAAGAAGAAAAATAAAGCAGGGTAAGAGGATAAAGAGTAGTGCTATATCAGACCAGATCAAGGAAGGCCTCTTTGACGAGATGACATTTGAGGAGAAAATGAAATGAAGTCATGAGCCATGTGCATACTTGGGGGAAGGGCATTCCAGGCAGATGGAACAGTAAGTACTACTCCTAGCACACGAGCTATAGTGATACCTCCAGGGATATGCCAGAACAGATCCTTGGCCTTGGCCAATCCTTTTTCTTGTCAGAGAAAGAATAAGCAGTAAGAAATGGGCTCCTGAATCAGTATGTCTTTCCCCTAATGGACTGGTGGTGCCTCCAAATAAAGCCCTCACTTTTGTAGTTTCAAACTCACATCCCAAAAGAACTATGTCTGGCAGAAAAGTTACCAG